CGTAAAAACTGATGATGGTGGAAAAATGCACCGAAACGTATTTTAATTGATAAATAAAGACAATAAATGACTGAAACCCAGGAATTAATTTTGATTTGGAATTGAAACACAGTCAGGAAAGTATATACAATGAAGACTTTTTTATGCCACTTTGTGCTTTTTCAGAAATTCGCCAAAAGCTGGGGAGAGGCTTTGGCAATGGGCAGGAAACACTTTTACGACTACCCTTTCAGCGTATGCTTGTGGTATCCTGGAGGCAACATCAAATCCACATACTTAGCGCATGCAATAGCCGTCTTCTTTTTGCATCTGATCCCTGCTTACCTGGTGGATTTTCTCATGTACCTAACCAACAACAAACCCTTGTGAGTTTTTCGTCGGCCCGGTAAGCGGGGCACACTTTAATCGCCGGTTCAGTTTAGTTCAGACTCAGAAGAGGATCCAAAATGGCCTGAGCGTACTCCAATACTACACGACCCGGCCCTGGAACTTCAGCAATGAGAAGCTCCATCAGGTGTCTGAGGGTTTGAGTGATAGAGACAGGGCCATTTTCTATTTGGATGAGGGCCAGATTATCAACGACGACTACATGAAGAGTTACATTTTGGGGGCCCGAAAATACTGCGTCCACGAGGAGCCCGAAACCATTCCGTATGCCAGAAAAGTGCTTAAAAGGTACGGAACTTATGACGATGAGGAGATTTTCAGATCGGACTCACGATGTGCTGTTTCAGGCTCTACTATCTAGACGTCCTGACAAACATGCTTCTCATCTGCTTATTGGCGTGGGGTTTTTACCTGTTGGTTGTCAACTTCGCCTCGGGCCTTAATTTGGCTGGAACGATCCCAAATAAGCCTCTCAAAGATCTCAATCTGAAAGCAGAGGCCAGTTTTGCCAATACGTAGTTAATTTTATCTGTTATTTTTGTATTTTTGCATTAAATAATGTTGTATATACTTTCCTGACTGTGTTTCAATTCCAAATCAAAATTAATTCCTGGGTTTCAGTCAATTATTCTCTCTATTTATCAATTAAAATACGTTTCGGTGTATTTTTCCACCATCATCAGTTTTTCTAAAATAACATAGTTAAAAAAAAATTTCATTAATTTAAAAAACAATCACAGTTCGTCAACAGCCTCATCATATGACACATTAAAATGCATCACAATTGCAACACTTTAAAACATTCTAAAATTAATTAGGCCTAACAGGTGATTAGTCAGGACAATCAAATTTGGGAAGACTAAAATTCTTTGTTCAGCTACTTAAATATTTTTACTTACATGTGTAGCGTTGTTGCTGCTTTAAGCCTTGGCATACATTTGGAGTATTAATTTTGTCCATTTTGGACGCAAAGCGAATAAAATATTGTGTATATTGATTGCTTTTACTTCCATGCTAGGCTTAATTTACTTCATGCTAGGCTTAATAAGTGATATAAAAACATATAAACCGGAAAAAAAGATCTTACTACCAATATACAAACAAAACTAAATAAAATAATAAATTTATGGCATAAAAAGA